AGACCGTGACCGCCACAGAAGCAACTCCTGTCCCAAACGTGCCATTCATACCCAGTCGGGTATTCAACGAAAGTGAAATGGCGCTGAAGAAACTGGGATCGTTTGAGGCCAAGGAGAAAGTGCTGCGCTCGTTGAGGGAAAAAATTCGGAAATCTGAGGAAAGCTGATGGTTGGCCGACCTCGACGCATCTATACTCCCTTTCAAAAAACGAGAAGAGCGTCGGGTGCAGACCATACACCACAAGTGACGACGGCCTCCACAAAATGTAAATGTTTTCTGCCAATGAAATGATTAGCCTGTTGCAGTTGTATTCTATCAGTTGTCACTATCACTACAAAAATCAGCTATCACTATGAACCACTACTAACCAGATTTACTTGGAGGCCGTCGTCACTTGTGGTGTATGGTCTGCACCCGACGCTCTTCTCGTTTTTTGAAAGGGAGGGTATCTACTGAAACTATGAAAATTCGGCAAGTCTGCTCCATTTGCGTGGGCGGGGCCAAAATTGCAATATTACTTATCCTTTTACAGTTTCGTGTTTTTTGCATTTTTTTCTAGATGAAAAACTTTTTGCTAACAATTGCTCACATTTATCAACATAGCTTAGTTTTAGCATTAGAGATTATTGATCTACTGTAACGAATACATTGTACTATTTTATTCCACCGGTAGTAGTGAATGTGTAATATCGATAGACGGGAAAGAATTACCCATTTGATACTTTGGCGCCTTTTTTATAGCCTTGTTTTGATCGTTAATGGCGTTGTTTACTTGTATTGCTTTGAGTTCTGTACTCTGGTTTTTGATGAATAAACTAATATTGTTATCTTTCGTGATCGATCATTTAAAGCGACAATTCCAGATGAGGTTGTGCCGAACAATCTACATTCTTTGGGTAGGAGAGATTAACCTGCGACTATCACGATTGTGCCGTTATCGCGGCTTGAGATTGCCGAAAATGGCCCCAGGGCCTTACAAAGTGAGCTAAAGACGGCTAATATGGGTCAATGGACGAGATACCTCGTCCATTGACGAAGCCATAACGGGACCAGCGCTAGGATTATCGACGTAGCGGCTGGTTCAAATATGCGCGGGCAAGTGAAGCCATGCAGAAAGCAAGTCCAGAAAACTCGTCCTCACACGCCCCTCCCTCATTTCAGGAAGGGAGAAAGAGATTTCTTGCCCGATAAATTGTTTGAAAAACTTTGAGAAAACATTCTTCAGTCATTTTATAGGCAATTTTTTATGTTTTGATGACACGCTCCCAACGAAAGGATACCGCAGCACGATCACTAAAAATAGGGCTGGGTAAAGGGATAAATTATTTTTTAATGATACTCATGACTTGAAAAAAAATCTCTGAAATCCAAGCTCGTCAGCAATAAGTCGGTCTTTGGTCACTTTTATCAGCTTCTACGACTTCAAACAACCTTCAGCTTTTCTGCTGGATTACCTCATTTCAAAGATAAGTATGCTTCTGGTTTCATCAGTGATATGCTTGTAGCTCGCTCCGTCAATATGCATAGCTACAGAAGATCGTCAAAGACCCCACCTCGAGCAGAATATTTCTATTATTGGCTCTTGATAAAATTATTAGCATTCTTTCTCGGAAGCGCAACTGGCCAGTGAAATTACGTACGGCGAGCCCTTCCTCCACAGAGATTCTCCTCTGATTTACTGTCACTAGATCCTTGAGCTGTCTTAGAGTTTAGACAAGCGCAATTACGGGGGCCTGAGGCTCTCTTTCCCAGTGAATGACGTCGCAAAAGCTCTGCGATAGGAGCAGGGGAGGAAAATCACTTGTTGTGGCACTTCCATTTTCCCACACTTAAACGGTCAAAACGAAAAGCAGCAAACGATGTGTGACCAACTTTCTCAAACCACACTTATGCTTACCTATTGATCTATACTTGTTGAAGCGCTATTTCGCGCATTATTTTAGTCCGCTGTTTTTGTAAAGCTCCACTGTTAGGATGGTTCGTGCATTTTCTCCTTCAGCTTACACCGCAGTGGTTGCATCTTCAACTGAACCGGGCTGATTATCAATGTCATCTTTTCGATCCTCTGTTCCGAGCCCTTGAGAGCCCTTGGCAGAGCCAACTGTCAGGGCTGTGAAATTCGCAGGCCTTCTGCACATGGCACCTCTTGCTCTTGAGGCTAAAGGCAGAATTTAAGATGAAAACTTAGCTCATTGGAAT